TAAGCACCGTACCTATGGAAACGTTTCACGAGAAATAGCAAAATATGCAAATCTAAAATAATTATCAGTAAGCGTTCCCGATAAACGATGAGTCATGCGGCAAGAGTAGACGTTACCTGGTGATGATGGCGGCCGCCACCGATGGCGCCACCTCTGACGCCGCCGACTCCAAGACCTCCTCCCTGGCTGTCCGTATTCAGCGACAGCAAGCACCGAAGAGAAGAGCAATAAGTGCGATAGACTTCATGGTGATCTAAATGTTTTGTAAAATCAATACACAAAGAAATATCATAGTATATAAGTAGCCAACATCTTTACGGATAAAGGAAACCATGCAAGACATCACTGTGATACTAAATAATACTTATAAAAGTACATTTCACGAGACATGTAATATGTAATATTTTGAAGATATGATATACTATTGATGATGCCTTGATAATATGATTAAAAAATCCTGATATTAAACTTGATATTAGCAACGCTATAACATAACCTTGCAGCGTAATCCAAACACCTCTGATGGAAGGAAATCTGGAGTCAAGATGGACTGATGGCTACACACCAAAGACATCGCCGCGCTTATATATCACCGCGCGCTGCCCCGTGACACACATGTCCCTCAAGCAACTCATCCACACCTATGTAGGCCTACGCGAAAACCTCAGCGATTCTTTCAAAATTGTTATCCGCTGCTAAACTGGGCTTGCCTACAGCGCTACCTGCTGCGGCGGCGATGTTGCGCGGGCACTCGGCGCGATGAGGCGGAGGGGCGGGGCGTTTCATGGGTGGGGCTTTAGCGAAGCGGATGAAAGTGGGACAGAGGAACACGAGTGAGCCCGGCGTAAGCAACAGCTTAGCCGCTACGGATGCCGTGAAAGAGTTTACGAGGGTAGAACAGCCCTGGATGCTGGTGCGACACGGATGTGCACGGCCGCGAATACGTGCGAACACTCCCATCTAATGTAGCGGCGCGGAAGCGGCTGGTGCCCGTCTATAGCGGCGATCATGGCCACTGCGAGCCACTCAGCACAGCAGCTGATGTGCTGTGAAGCTGAGAGCAGCTGGCAGACGAGCATCAGTGCGTCTCCTGTGCCGTCACACGTCGCTCATGTGAGCAATCATGTCCAGGTCATCCCGCCCGCGGAACAGCGAGTGCCACGAGCACATAGCATAACATATTCACATATTTCACTAGCATATTATATATACATACATTATTATATATATATATATATATATATATATACATTATATATATATATAGATATAGATATAGATTATATAATATATATCAAGAGCTAATTAATATTAATATTAATAATAGTATTATTAGCTCTTGATATATATATATATATATATATATATATATATATATATATATTTGAAGTGCAGCAATATAAGTGCCACGGTGGAGTTGATTGTGTTTCGTCATGTGAGTGTTTTGCAAAGAAACAAAAACAGGTAATATCTCTTATTTTGTAGAAGGCAATTTGATTTTTGGAATCTGATGTTAGTACTCATGTTGTGTGGGTACCCATTTCATCTAATATGAATGCTCAGCTTCATTTAGATGTTGCTTCTCTCAGAAACGAGTTAACGAATCAGACAGTGGCTCGCGGCAACATGCGAGGGATTTTTACGCGTAAAAAGGTGAAAGTGAACAACGCTTGAATACGCATGCATTAGAAGATGTCAACAACCGTGGTTCATTTATCTGCGCTGCCATCTTGATAACGCGATATGTGTGGTTCGGGCCAGATGAATCATGGCATTCATGATGAGTTGCCAAACTGGTGCTATTTCGTCATTTTATAAAAAAGTGTTTTTATTAACATCATTTATTTTCGTGCTACTTAAGGCGACTACACTATTACCATTCTTCCTTTTGACTCTACCATTGCCTATATCCACTGATGCTAAGCTTCTAGGCTCATTAATTTTTTAGCCTAATTCTATTCAAATTTCAAAACCAGGAGTCTAACCTGATATGCCAGGTAACACGTACTCACTGATAAACACGTTCCCCGTCTTTATCCTGTACAAAAATTATCAGGGACTTATCTTGCCATCAGGTGGCGCAACACACCGGTTTTTAAGGTTCATCGAATGCCCATCCGCCTGCTCTGTAGTCTCTCGTGAAATTCTTATTCTCACACATAGGTCTTTTTCACTTATCAAATTGGCTGACTTTAGGCAGAGAGTGTCTAGATCAGTCAGTGCAGCAGGGAGGCTGTCGAACATAGAAGACGTCACGCCTGACATCATCAATGCATCTGTCAAAATATTGTGACAAATTATTTCCAATGGAACTTACATAACCTACTTCTTTATGACTCATTTGGGATACGCTTGCTAACATACCAATCGTTTCTACTTTTACATGTAGCTAGGGCTACATGTTGTGAAAGTGTATTTTAAACCTGAAAGTAGTATTATCAAGAGCGCATTAAGTACACGTATTAAGTGTCTAACACAATTATAGTATTATGTATGCCTTCCGCTCCTATATGTTATGCATGCACGGATTTTTTTATATTTATACTTTGAAAGTATGAAACATGTCAGTAAGTATATTTGCATTACGCGTGTTCTTTTTTGCATTTATCGTGCGGGCATGTTATGTAAGTACGTTTACATGGCACCGTTACATTTAGCGAGTGTACATGGGAATTACTTGCTCTTCGTTTCCTTCACAAGACAGCAGATAGAGATATAGTATTGTTCACTTCACGAGTCGCTCTAGACGGTAGCGCAGGTGTCTCTGCTGCCAAAACCGACCCGTTGCGAAATATGCGTAACATGATTTAAATACGCACGCTATTGAGGCGCATATATTATATATGTATATATGTATATGTATATATATATGTATATGTATATATGTATATGTATATATGTGTATATATTATATATATATATATATATATATATATATATTATATATATATACCGTACTATATTTAATTTCATGCGTACATTAAAAGCTATCCATCCAAGCATTTCGTTGAGCAATGAATTACTAGTAGATACAATAGTACGCCGGTAGAAAAGGCTTCGTACATAGGAAGGTTGGTTTCAGGCAGATATTCTAAAACAACTTTAGAAACAATATTTCATGTTTTAATTTTGCGAGTCTTTACTTACAACCGTAAATGTATTTTTATTTTTATTTACACATGCAAGCGCGTGTGTGCGTGTGCGTGTGCGTTCGCTCATGTGTATTTTATTTGTGTTCGTTCATCCCACGTATTTGTGAATATTCATCTCTCGTACGTATTGGCATGCGCTTTCAACATTGTATTTTCTATCACCCACATTGTGTTTGCATTGGTCCATGGATTTCGATTATTACCTCCGCCAGGAGCTTGGCGGGGGTTATGTTTTCACCGGCGTGTGTTTGAGTGTTGGTTTGTGTGTTTGTGGTTTGTTAACATGCACGTTTCAGTTCACTTCGCGCTAGGTGCGCTGGCTGTAGACTTACAAACACGAACCACAGGATAAGGTGCAACCGACAGTCCTCCCCCACCTGCACGCTCGCACTAATCCGGATGCCAATTAATTATGTTAATTAATTATCATTAATTAATTAATTAATTAATTTTTCCACTTAATTAATTAATTAATTAATTTTTCCACTTAATTAATTAATTAATTAATTAAAAATTTCACATTGAGAGAATTCAGCTGCCTTGGCGGAGGTCTGTGCTCTCCGAGTGCTCTAGTTGACGTTATTTTTGCATTGTATTTAAGTTGTATTTTTCATGACTGCATTGATTTCATTTCTGTCGCCGTGCTTGCATTGTTTTCTTATTGTAACTTTGCACTGTTCTGCGTTTCCTGCATTAAATTTGCATACTCGTGCATTGTTTAGCAAGAATGCGATTATATACTATAGATGGCGCTACATGCGTAGCGTGTAAAATCAAGTATAGAAATAGCTAATCTATTTGTTAGAACAATTCGGTGACATTGCTTCTAATAAACAATTAGAAACACAATTTGATTTGATTTCAGCAAAACTGAATTGCATTTATTTATTTAAAGTATCAATCGCCCTCGTCGATAAAACTATATACAGCAATAATAAGAACAGGCATCATCTCAGACTGAGCCGTACCTTCCGATCTCATGAATGGGTATTTACACGCGTGAATAAGCAACTGTGACAAAGCAAGGCCATTACGATCATCATAATTATTTTTACATTGTACTAATTAAAATAAATGCTATCTCCTCACATATTTCTATACATAATATCTTCTTTCTACCGTAAGTTAACTTATCGTAATCCATTTTTGAAACACAAGTTTCGGTACCAGCAGGAATTTGCTCTCTGGTGGTTGGGCATTGTGGAGCATAGTAAAAATAGATGTATTTCATCAGCCGCGTTTCTTGCCAAAATCTAGAATAAATCATTTTTATCACAGTTACTGTTACTGCACTATAAACTATAAACATCTATTGATTCAATGACATCTTGAAAATAAAAACAAGTCTGCTCAATTTTCGACGCAGATCGCCTTTTGTGCCGAATCTGTTTTTTATTATTATTTTGAGTTCACTTTCAACTAACAATGCTCCAGCCTCTTTCCCGCTCTTATTGGTATCCTCCCTGACCGTAGCCTCCGCTGCCACGGCCACCAGCAAAGCCACCAGACACCTGTTGACCTCCGAAGTTTCCACCGGAAACGACCTGCTGACCTCCGAAGCTTCCACCACCGATGGCGCCACCGCCGAAGCTGCCACCGCCGATGCTTCCACCACCGATGGCGCCACCGCCGAAGCTGCCACCGCCGATGCTTCCACCACCGATGGCGCCACCGCCGAAGCTGCCACCGCCGATGCTGCCACCACCGATGGCGCCACCAGCACCACCGCCCTCGCCTCGATAGACAACGTCGACGTCAGCGAATCCCCAGACGGGCTCCTCGATATCATAGTTGTACAGGGTCTTTGGCTGCGTGTACTCGTGTCCCTCTCTGCATGGGCACAAAAGCAGGAATTAGACGCCGAGCTTTAAGCTATACGTTTTTACCAAAATATGAGCAAAGGTATCAACAGATGTGGATAGTTAGAGCTATCATGCTGTTAGAAGGCTGGATAGCAGGGGCTCGGCGAAGAAACCGTAACCTAAATCTAGATAAGTTGTCATTTAAAGATACTGCGATATCAAGATAAATAGAAGGGTTTATGTCTTCTTGGGTTTATGTGCTTCTAGTGAAATGAAATGCAGACATTACTTGTATCTGTACTCGTATCCGCGGCTCTTCTTCGCCGTCTCTGTGGCATCGGCGTTGTCTCTGCTGAACAGTGAGCCGGTGGCGGTACCGGTCCTGGAGAAGGTCAGGCCGCTGCTCCTGTCTCCGCTTCCTCTCAGTCCGCCGGTAGCGATGGGTCCGTATCTGGTCGTGGTGAAGAACTCTGGGGCTCCGGTCTGTTGCTGGCCTCCACCCAGGCTGCCGCCTCCGAAGGATCCACCACCGAAAGATCCACCTCCAATCGATCCGCCTCCGAGAGATCCACCGCCGACTTGGAAGGATCCACCACCGACCTGGCCTCCTCTGATCTGACCACCTCGAACTTGGAAGGATCCACCACCAATCTGGTTACCTCCAATCTGGCCACCTCCAACTTGGAAGGATCCACCACCGAGAGATCCACCACCAACTTGGAAGGATCCACCACCGAGGGATCCACCTCCAACTTGGCCTCCTCTGATCTGACCACCTCCAACTCGGAAGGATCCACCACTGATCCTGCCTCCTCCGGTCAGACCACCTCCTGATTGGTACGAACCACCGCCTTGCTGTCCGCCACTCACCTGAACAGGTAAATCGGATTTTGCAGAAACAACAATCGAAGTAAAAAAAACTTCAATTATTTCTACGAGAAGTAGCACTCATAACACCGTACCTATGGAAACGTTCACGAGAAAATAGCAAAATATGCAAATCTAAATAATTATCAGTACGCGTTTCCCCGCATAAACGATGAGTCATGCGGCAAATGTAGACGTTACCTGGGTGATGATGCGGCCGCCACCGATGGCGCCACCTCTGACGCCGCCGACTCCAAAACCTCCTCCCTGCTGTCCGTATTCAGCGACAGCAACACCGAAGAGAAGAGCAATAAGTGCGATAGACTTCATGGTGATCTAAATGTTTGTAAAATCAATACACAAAGAAATATCATAGTATATAAGTACCAACATCTTTACGGATAAAGGAAACCATGCAAGACATCCACTGTGATACTAAATAATACTTATAAAAGTACAATTTCACGAGACATGTAATATGTAATATTTTGAGATATGATATACTATTGATGATGCTTGATAATATGATTAACAAATCCTGATATTAAACTTGATATTAGCAACGCTATAAATACCTTGCAGCGGTAATCCAAACACCTCTGATGGAAGGAAATCTGTGAGTCCAAGATGGGACTGATGCTACAACCAAAGACATCGCCGCGCTTATATACACCACCGCGCTCCCCGTGACACACATTTCCCCTCAACAACTCATCCACACCTATGTAGCCTACGCGAAAACCTCAGCGATTCTTTCAAAATTGTTATCCGCTGCTAAAACTGGGGCTTGCCTACAGCGCTACCCTGCGGCGGCGATGTTGCGCGGGCACTCGGGCGCGATGAGCGGAGGGGCGGGGCGTTTCAGGGTGGCGGCTTTAGCGAAGCGGATGAAAGTGGGACAGAGGAACACGAGTGAGCCCGGCGTAAGCAACAGCTTAGCCGCTACGGATGCCGTGAAAGAGTTTACCGACTCGGTAGAAACAGCAGCTGGACGCGCGCGCGATACGGATGCGGCACGGCGCGAATACGTGCGAACACTCATCTAATGTAGCGGCCGCCGAACGGGCGGCCCCGTCTATATAGGCGGCGAATCATGCGCCACTGCGAGCCATCAGCCACAGCAGCTGATGTGCATAAAAGCTGAGAGCCAGCTCAGACGAGCATCAGCTGCGTCTCCTGTGCCGTCACACGTCGCCTCGATGGTGCCAGCAATCATGCCCCATGTCATCCCGCCCGCCGGAACAGCGAGGTGCCACAGAGCACATAGCCATAACATATTCACATATTCACTATCAATTATATATACACTACATTATTATATAAATATATATATATATATATATATATATATATATATATTGGAAAGTGCAGCAAATATTCCGAGAGCCACGGCTGAGGTTGATGTGTTTCTGGCTCATGTGACGTGTTTTGCAAAAAACAAAAACAGGAATATCTCTGTATCTTTGTAGAAGGCAATTTGTATTTTTGGAATCTGATGTTAGTACCTGTGGAATCTGATGTTGTGTGGGTACCCATTTCATCTAATATAAATTCTCAGTTTCATTTAGATTGCATTCTCTCAGGAAAACCAGTTAACGAATCAGAGCCAGCTGGCTCCCGCAACTATGCCCGGGGATTTTATTGCGTAAAAGTGAAAGTGAACAACGCTTGATATACGCATGCACTTAGAACGATGCAACAACCGCTGTTCATTTATCTGCGCTCCGATCTTGGACTAACGCGATATGTGGTGCGCTTTCGAGCCAGAGACATCATGCATCTCATTGATGAGTCTGCCCAAACTAGGGGCTATTTCGTCCATTTCTATAAAAACTTGTTTTTATTAACAAACATTATTTTCTGTGCTACTTGAAGGCGACTCCTAGTATACCATTCTTCTTC